GGAGAATCACCATGACTATGCAGTCATCCTGGGCTCTATAGTTGGTATTTATTTATTTTGTTAGTCGGTCTTTAAAAAAGGGGATATGTGGATATTGTGTAAAATAAAGGGGAAAAAAAGCACAGATGGAGGGTGGTTTGGGTATTTGTTTAGTTCTGAATATCCTGTTCATTTGCAGGCACAAATTTAGACCAGGGCTGCACAACATCTGCTCATCTCAGCAGTGAATTGATCACCATAATTCTGTATGGAAGATCAGACTTTCCAGTTGTTCAGGCCAAACTTGGGGTTCTCTGATCCATTGATTCCTCTTGTACCTCAAATCCAGGGCATCCGAATATATGCAGAACATGGTCCCTCGCTCCCTCTCCATTACCACCAGCCACGCCCACGCCCCTATCACCTCTCACCTGCACCGCTCCGTCTCTCCAGTGGCCTCCCTGTGTGGACGCTCTTCCATGGACACACATCTGTAAGTAGCAGAGCCACTCATAACGAAGGCAGACTGCACCAGTCCTGTACTCAGGGCTTCTGAGGCTCCCACCTCCTTCAGAAAAGCCGGCGCTTGCCAAGCCCTACCTGACTCACTGAGCTTTCTCCTCCGCTCCCAATCAGCTCACTCCACCGGGGCCTCTGTGTCCTTGTTCTTCCCTGATGCACCCAGCTCAGTGTGGTCTTAGAGGCCTTGTCCCAGCTATCTTCTCTTCCTGGGACCACCGGCCTTGACTTCACCCTGGCCATCATCCTCATCTCCTTTAAACTGTTCTGTGTGGATCACTCAAGCTGCATTTAGCAAATCGTTCTCTCACCCCCGTTTCCTGAAAGCTGCTCTTTTTCTTCTCTCCATAGCATGTATACTTCCTAGTTACTGTATCACCTATTAGGTTCATTGCATTGGTCTGTCCTCCTCTTCAGGAAGGGAAACTCCACAAAGGGAAGGGATCTTTGCCTTGTTTTCTGCCATTTCAAAACAAAACAAAAACAAAAACAAAAACAAAAAAATCACCTAGAATAGAGCTTGTCTATGGTAGGCACTCAATCTACTTATAAAAGGATTTTGTTGTCAATAAAGGCAAAACACATAGGATATATTAGATGTCATATATGTTGTTTTAAAGCATGTACTTGAAAAACTGAGAATTTAGTAATTTAGAACTTTTCTGAATGTTGGTAATCACGGTGCATCTTCCCATTGCAGACTGGGCAAAAACATTTTAAAGATTCAGTACCTTTAAGTGTGATCAACAGAAAACTCTGTGTTTATTCTACACTGGAACTGATCAAAACTAGATGCAACTTGGTCAAAAGAAAAACCCTACCAGATGTAGGGTGCATGCCTATCATCCCCAGCACTTGGGAGGCTGAGGGAGGAAGATCACAAGTTAGAGGCCAGCCTGAGCTACTAGAGTTAAAGACCAGCCTGAACTACGTAGTAAGATCTTGTCTCAAAGAACAAAATCTCCCCCACAAAGTAAAACCTTCTACGAATTTCCACAGTGGGTGCATTAGTTAAAATTCTTATCAACAATGTAGAAGGGTTCCTGTTTCCTCCACCGCCTCCGTGGCATTTGTTATTTCACTTCTGGAAGAGGACCAAGAATTGGAAGGAGCAGGGAGGGATGGGAAGGGTAGGGGATGAAAGAAAAAATTAAGATGTGTTACGTATGTGTACCAACTCCCTACCATAAATGTAATTAATATGTACTGCAAACTTGTACTAGTGAAAAAAAAAGATTAAAACAGAAAAATCTTGGAGTAGAGGTAGTGGGGTTAACAGGTTAATAATATCCCTTAGTTATCCATATTGCCAGCTGCGCAATCTCCCAAACAAGTGTATGGTGAAGGCTAAATAAAAAGAGGCAAATGGAATGATTTCAGGGCTCCAGGAGGATCAAAGACGTCTCACAGAACTTGAGACTCTCTCAGGGCTAAGACCAAGACCTTCTCTGGGTGGCCCATATTTATTTGGTTATCAAAAAAGGGAGGGGAGTGCTCATAAAGGGCAGAATCACTCAAGGATTTCTCCAAGTAAGGTATTAAATTAATCCTTAATAAGGATTAAATTAATCCACCCAGGAGTGAGACGCCTGAGGCTATAGTCTTTACCTAGTTGAGACTGGATCCAGGTGTCTTTGGCCGTGATCTTGTCTTATCCTTTGAGGCTTTCTGGCCTCATCCAACAGTTATAGGTTTTAACAGGGATTAGTGACTCACAGAGGTTTGCTTACTGTTTGCCCATCTCCAGACAAGGAGCCTAGGCCTTGGACAGATTCACAAGTGCACAAGAAAAGCCAATTGATTCATTTACGTCCTGCTCACGGTTGCTTCAAGGCTAACCTGGGCTATAAAGAAAGTATAAGGTCAGCCTGAACTACATAGCAAGACCCTAAAGAAAACAAGAAGAGTATCTTGCCTTAGCTGCCATAACCTATAAAAGCTATTCCCAATTTCTTTAAACTTTATTGGCTTCATCTGGTGACAACCCCTACATTCTTTGCTATGCATTAGAATTCATCTATTTCAAATTAAAACAGTAAAAGTATCATAAAACAAGATTCAGAACCACTGTTCCTTGGGGCACATAGAACTGAGTGATTAGCTGTGGTAAACTTGGTGTTATAAACTTGGCATTGTCATTACTATCACAGAAGTCACCTGGCAGGGCCACCACCGATTCATGATTCTAGAAGGAAAATGAATGGTGAATAGAGTTCTAGTGTGTCTCTTGGCCTTAGACTTCAGGGTTCCAGAAAATACACCAATATACAAATCCACAGTGACCCTGCTAATGTTGTAAAGAAATCCCTGTTGCTTTTTGTGCACTGTGTCAAATTCAATACATACATACATACATATACATATATATATCTATTTTTTTTTTTTTCAAATATGAAAGACAGAAATGGTACTAGAAAAATGAGACTGGGCTTTGGGTCATACAGACCAGTTTGAATCTTTAGAGCTGAAACCAATTCCTCCTTTTAAGAGCTTAAGGAAAAATGGACAAAGATGGACATACAAACACATTGTGCTCAGTGTCTTAAATATTTTATGTTTTAATTAAAATGCTAAAAAAGCTGGGCATGGTGGTGCATCCCTACCATCCTAGCACTTGGGAGGCTGAAGCAGAGTCCAAGGTCAGCCTGAGCTACACAGTGAGTTCAAAACCAGCCTGGGTTACATAGTAAAACCCTGCTCCCCCCAAAATAAATAAATAATAATCTAAACATATGCAAACTGAACATCTCTAATCTGGAAATCCAAAATCTGGAATGATTCCCAAAGTGTCATGTCAGCATTCAAAAAAGTTTCAAACTCTGGCAGACTTCGGGATTAGGGATACTTAACTCGTAAAGTCTATACAAATATTCCAGAATCCAAAACATTCCAGCACCTGGTATCTCTTCTGGCTCCAAGGAGGCATGCATGCATGTATTTATTTATTTATTTATTTATTTAACCCTTTTGAGACAGGGTCTCACTCTGCAGTTCAGGCTGGTCTTGAACTCACTTTGTACCCCAGGCTGGGCTTGAACTCTCAAGGATGCTGCTGCCTCAGGCTCCCCTCGGGAGTGCTGGGTTTACAGGTGTGCACCACCACACCTGGCTTCCAAGAATTTTAGGTAAGGGGTATTCAACCTATATAATCTAACTGCAACACAGAACTGGTGAAAACAGCAATAGTTTATTTCATGATGAAAAGTGGAATTCTGCTACGCAAACAGGCTGGGTCAGGCTATAGTTAAACTCCTCCCCCACAGCCACTTTGCCCTGCTCCAACACACTCCCCACTGTCTCAGCGGATTCACACAAGGACTTATTTCCTGCTCATGCACAGCCACTGCAGGTCTAAGACAGTGTGCTCCACAGGGGGGCTCATTGTCACTCCTGTCTCCACAGATGCTCCCATGACCCCCAGGGAAGAAACATCACCGCTGTCTCTTGCCAGCAATGAGAGGCTTCTGTCTCTACTGCATCTGCCAAGCCGATCACAAGTCTAACATGACTTCAAAGTGCTGGAAATACACGATGCGATGAGAGTCCCGAAAGCACACAGCCATAATGCACTATAACCACACAGCAATTTAGAACACTAACATGGAGGTCTATCTTTCAATGTGGGTAAACTATGAATAATGTACCAAGTGGAAAAATAAGTGCATACCCATTACAATGATTTACAGGTGTGTGCTACATATGTATTTTTGTTTTTGTTTTTTTGTTTTTCTCCGGTACCGGGAACCGAACTCACGACCTTGCGCTTGCCAGGCAGGCGCTTTTTGCCGCTGAGCTAAATCCCCAGCCCCCTACATATGTATTTTTAAAAACATCAGAAAGATAGATAGTGTAAGTTTAATGATGTGTTCTCTGAGTGGCAGGATTTAAGAGCTTTAAAAAAACCTTTCTTTCATATTATTTGGTTGTACCTTATTTTCTTTTTCTTTTTTATTATAAAAAATATTTTGATGCTGAAAGCAGCCACAGCTATTTTTGGAAAACATACAGTAACTGATTAGCTAAGACCATCTCATTGCGTTCACTGAAGAATCAGTTCTGGGTCTCAATCACTTTGTCCTAGATCACAAGCCTGAGCCTGCTGATGCGGACAGAGGAGCTCACTGTCCCCTGTAGGTTGGGACAGCCTGAGGGCCTGAACATCCTGTGCCTGCGGTGACTGATGTCGTACACAGGCCTCCCACTCTGAGAGCTCTCTGCACCCTGCCTCACGTGCAGACCAGGACGCAATGAGCACAGGGAGGCCAGCAGGTGGTGGAGGCCTGTACTTATGTCAGACCAATGGACAGAGAGACAGAACCTGTCTGGTATTCTTATCTGTGAAACGTAAATGGGGTAACTAATGCCTTGCAGAGCACTGCCAAGATTGAACGAGATGACACAGGTGAGGCACCCAGAACACAGAAGGGGCCAAAGAAATGACTGATACTGTGATTGCCCTATGTCTAGATCAAACATAAGAAAAGCTAAATTAAGCAGCACAGTAACAAGCAAAGAATATTTTATTGTAAGCATATTCCCCCAAAACCCCCACAAAAACGCACCCACAAACAGGAGAAAAGAACAAAGTTTTCTAGGCTCTCTGGGATACACAGGGCATCATGTCTCATAGAAACAGAGCTAGAGTAAAAACGAAGTGTACTAGTTAACATCACCCTGTGCTTCTGAGTCAATAAAAGGCTGTAGAGAAAAACATTTTATTTGGACTCTACTACAAATGTGCTGTACAATTAAACTTCAGCTTACTCAAAGAGTTATTGTATAGGAAACTACAGAAAATAGACGAGGCATTCAATGATCTGCTCACAATTAACAATTAAGCAATAGATACTTAAAACATATAGCATGTATTACTTAATTGTTAAACCTCACTTTGATAAGGAGCAGATGGTTTATCACTAATAGTAACTGGTTTCTTACTTTGTAGGAGATACCAGATTCAGTAATGGAAGTAGAAAGTACTTTAAAGAAAACTGATTTTAAAAAATATCTCCTTGGGTCTGTGCTGCTCTGGTACACATTACATATTTGGGTCTGATTCAACAGTTTAAAAAGTACAGATACTAACTAATTAAACTGCTGAGAGAAGAGAACCAAATCATACGTTCTAAAGCAATACATTACTTTCTGCTTATATTCTCCAGGGAGCAAGACAGAACTAGGGTGTAGTAAACAGAGACTTATGATGCAGTATAATGAATAATAATTTGTTTCTATTTAATGCTACTGGGGTATTGCTATCACTTGGGACTAGTAAAGGGTAATTTTAAAATGTGTTGATAGTGAAGAACTGGCATTTCCTTAGTACTTACATACACGAGCTAAATATGAGGGTCTTCTCTAATATTCTGTACTTCTTAATCCATACTCATACAAATTAGCTTGAAGGTTCAGGGAAGGAAAGAACAGTAAACTGTTACTTGAACTATCTGAAGTGACCTGTTCATGAGAAACAGTCAAAATAAGGCAATAACTATGAGTCTATCTGTACTTTCCTTGTATGCCTCATCAGTATACGTAACTGAGAAAATAATTTCTGCCCACTTCTATAAAAAATACACCACTCGCTGCCTAAGGTGTGACAGAAACAAGATAAACCTGGCACATGTTTTTGAAGAGAAAAGTGACTGTAGGCTTAGGTGCAGAGCAAGCTATATTGAAATATTCTCTTTTCCTTTTCTAAGGTACTTTGCTCCAATTCTTCCTTAAATATAAATTTCCCCACTGACTTACATTAACTCTGTAAAAAGCCCCAAACAACTTTTACATTCTCTACGGAAAACAGATTTCATCGAGAACATTTTAAAATAAAAATATTTGAAAGCTACAAACTATTCACAGTAGCTGTGATATTCTGTTCAATTTACTACAGACATTAGAGTCACATTTTACAGAAGTTAAAGGAAAATCAAACCACAGCTCAGCACTCTTCCATAGGGAAAGGACCGGATCATATTCTGTTTTCCTCTCAGGTCTTAAAATCCCAGGATAGCACCTTTGCATGGACCAAACTATCAAGCGAATGAAAGTTGATATATGAAACTGAACATTAAATATCATGGTTTAAAAGTTACCAGTATTCAATTTCTCTTCCAAGTTATGTTAAGTAATATATATTTTTGTGAAGAGTTGTTAAAGTAAACAATTTTGCAAGGTGATGTAACACAAAAAGTTAACGAGCAACAAAACCCTTCTGGCTTCATTCTGAAGACAATCAGATTTTATGTAGATCATTCCAGAATATGGTGTGCCCCACCAACCTTATCACTTGTGTCACATGGCGAGTAAGACATCTTTGAACTGCTTGTCGTAAACTTTTCTATTCCTGTAAGCCATGGTTATAAACCAGACTGTCCCTTGGTTTAATCATACAGAATGTCCATGTTGTCTTAATAAACCCCAGTGATGCAGTAGTTTTTAAAAATCAATACCCATTAGTAAGATATTAGAAAGATATTGTCCCTGTCTATTTTTACATTTGCCTTTTTTAAAAAAAGTAGGTCCTTCAACACTCTTTCCACAGCCCTGAAGGAACTGATACAGGTGCCATTGTTCAAACAAAGACAGATACATATTTTTATATTAAAAGATGGGCTCTCCATTGCTTAATCTCTGCCTCATCCTAGTACTCTGGTTCAAAGCTTTAAAACAACAACTTCTGCTAGTTGTGATGGAAGTGATTTACAAGTTAGGAATACTGTACAAGACCTGATTGATGATTACAGCTCTGGCTACCAGTTTCCTCCTATGAAACGTGAGTAACACTCATTCCAACTAACAGTCAGCATCCTTGGGGTACTTTTCTGAGGACATTAAATTGCCACACATCTCAGGAGCTCACCTGGGGACTAGAGACAGAACGTGTTTGTAGGAAGGCCGTATGTTCCACGGGACAGACTGACCATGTCCCAGTATCTGCAGGGTGGCAGCTGGCTTCTGTTAGGTGTCCCTAGCTGCAGTGAGAACATATCAGGTGACTCAACAGCACCATAGAAGAGCACCCTCAGAGCACACTTGGGAAAAGGGAAGGATATGGACTGACTTGGTTGTTACAGAAGTTTCACAAGTGACATCATGACAACTGCACGGGTTTGCTTGTGGCATATGGAAAGGTTTTCCGGGAAGTAACTGAAATGGACCACAGGGTAAGTGCAGATCATGGCACCACCCTGAGGGAGTAGGTGCCATGGCATAGCCCACATCTGTGCTCTGCCAGCAGGGAGGGCGGGTTCTGCTTTCTTCGCTTCCTCCTTCCTCAACTCCCACTCTCACAACAGGGAGCCGCCGGGCTCTCGGGAGGCCTGCTGGGCGGAGCGGACGCGTGTTTGTGCTGGGGACAGCGTTAGGAGAGTTCTCAACATTAACTTTTCGTTCAGTTTGTTCCTCTGTAAAACTCTCACCGGCGAGATGCCGCCTTCCTCACCCACGAGCTCAGCGTTCACGAGGAAGTTGCGGTGAAGTCAGGAAACTGTCAGAGACCTTTTCCATATTTGTTCCCACAGGTGAGTTCCTTTACATCGTTTTCTCTAGAAAAATGTTTTTCAGTGGCTACTGTCTCTTCACATGACAGTGGCCTTGGAACATGGGAGGGGTCATGTCGGGTGGAGGCCACTGTTTGCGAGGTGTAGACGTCACCGGTGCCCGGGTCAGTGTGGAGAAAATCCAGTCGCCAGACTGCAGCCCACCACCGGAGTCATGTCCCAGATCTACACGGAGACAGAGAGAAGGCAGCGCTGGTCACGGGGTCTCATGTCAGGATTGGCACTGACAAACTCACTTCTGCCAACCTTGAAAAGATCACAATTCTCTCATTCTCTCCTTTTACTACAAAACCTCACTAAGGCTGACACTGCAATAAAACAATCTGGTTCATTAGAACCAGAAAAAACCTTGTACCGTAGTGTCTCAATGCCTGAAAGTAGCATCGTGGTCATGTTTTACTATAAAGTTACTTCTTAAGAAAAAAAAGCCCACTAGGAATATATTTCATAACTTCACATCTCACGAGGAGTACTAAGTGTAAAATATTTCCTTTCCATTTCTGTTGGTGGTTTCAGAGATTTCATGAAAGAATAAGTGGTTATTCCTTATAGTTACGATGCGGTCTCTCCGGGATTGTAAAAAAGGCCTAGAGTCAGGGGTCGGAAGTCCCAAGCCAGGGACAGTGGGAAATGCTGGGCCAGCTCTGCCCCCGTGGGATCTGATGGGTGCCAGGCTCTTGCCGGCTCATTGCACAGATCAGCAGGATAGAAGGCAATGCTGCCGAGATTCCTGCTGCTCAGAGTGGAAATTCACAGGTGTGTGGCCTGTCACTCCAGTTTCAAGCTGGCCACGGGCTATGCATGAAAGGGAAGGCAAGCCTGCCAGCCAGGAGCGTCTAAGCCCACTCAGCACAGCAAGGGAGCGATCTCACCTGCAGTGTGGGCGAGGTGGTCAGCCAGCTCACCTTTACTACGCGGTCGGTCCCACACGTCACCATCAGTCCCCTGGCAATGTCCATGGACATGTGCGAAATGTTGTGTTTTCCTTCGTGAAAGGTTGCTAGAGAAGTCCGACTAAGAAACAGAGAAGAGACCATTGAAATGCACCCTACCGTACCCAGAGATCAGATTTTTTTCTTTAAGCGACAAAAATGCTTACAATAATTGTGTTAAAATAGGTTTCAAAAATGTAACTATAGCTGGCATGGTGGCTCATGCCTATAATCCCAGGATGTAGGAGGCTGAGGCAGGAAGATCATGGCTGTAAGTTCACAGCCAGCCTGCACTACATGGGGAGACCCTGTCTCAAAAAAAAGAAAAAAAAAAAAAGGAGTTATAATTCTGAAAAGATAAAAGAAAGCAAGTAACACTCGATATAAGTGGTTTTTTTTTTTATGTTACTAGGCATTAAACCGAAGCTGCATGCACTGAACTGTATCTCTTTATTTTTATTTTATTCTTTTTGTTTTTTAAGACAGGATCTGGCTAAATCATTAAGTTGTCCAGTCTGTGTTCAAACTTGTGTTCCTCCTGCCAATCCTTCCGCCTCAGCCTCCCAGACTGATGGGGTGACAGGCTGATTTCTTTTTTTTGTTTGTTTTATTAGAAAAGCTGACAAAAAAAACTCAAGGCTTAGCTGGGCATGGTGGTGTGCACCTATAATCCCAGCACTCAGGAAGCTGAGGCAGGAGGACTGCCATGAGTTCAAGGCCAGCTTGGGCTACATGGTGAGACACTGTCTCAAAACAAAATAAAACAGAACACGAGGCTTTGCCAGGTTTGGTGGCTCATGCCTGTCATCGCCCTGCACTTGGGAGGATGAGGCAAGAGGTTCAGTGGGAGTTCAAGGCCAGTGTGAAGTACATAGCAAGACCCTGTCTCAAAAAACAAAAACAAAACCACACAAGGCTTTGAAGCAGAACTGCACAGAGGGACTGCACAGAATGAGATCCTATGGTATGGGTGAAACGTGCATCAGAAAGCTACAGGATCCCCAAGGCCCCTCCGCAGACACAGCATCCACAGCGGCAGCCTCTCCTAGAACTGCCAACATTGCTCTGCAGCCCAGGAGTTCTCCCATCCTTCCCCAGCTCACTAACCAACAGCGGAGGGGACGCACCAGGTTGCCCTGCACGCCTGTGCCAGGGAAGAATGGGATGTGTAGACAGATGTGTCTTACACCCAAAGCACTGCATAGGGACAGACTGCTAGGTCAGATATTTGTTAAACGAGGAGCAGCAGCCTTTATAGGGTCCCCTGTAATTACATTTGATGCATGTGTGGACAAAGGTCAGGGTGACGGATGTTTTCACGGACAGCTCAGCCATGGCCATCTACACGTGGTGGACTTGTCCTTGCCTGGAACCCTGTGCGGTGCATGGGCTCAGGAACAGCCCGGCAGCTGCCAGTGGGTTGCAGTATTCTCCCCTAGTGTTCAAAAAAAAAAGTCTACCCAGCCAGAAGGGCGGCTTGAGAAAACAGCAGTAGTCCTAAATCACAAGTTGAGGACATGATCTTCTCTTTGGAAATGTTTTATGAAATTCAGATGGGACAAACATGGGGAGAAATCTACCTGTATCACTTCTCAGGCTGTTTGTATCTAAGAAACCCTTCTTAAGCTTCATTTATGACTTAGTTATTTTTAAGAAAGCCTTTAGACAGAGAGTAAATGCAGGGAGACGAAGACCGGCGGGCACTCACTCTTCGTCCTTGATGGAGTCGTAGCACGAATCGCACACTCGGACCTGGAACTCGAAGCCCATGACCGGGTAACTGGAGCGCTTGCTGCTGCACTTGCCGCACACGGCCTGCCCGCACTTCCGGCAATGGTGCTTCCCGGCGACCAGAGGAGGAAAACAGGGTTTAGCCTTTGCTTTAATGCACATGGCTTCCCTTTAAAGTTGGGGGACAGGAGTGGGGAAGATATGCCTTGAATTATAATCACCCCAATTCAATGGATCATTAATATTCAGTTTCAACACCAATCTTGCTTTACTGGTCAAATGCTAGTTTTTGTGCTTTTATGTTATTGGGCTACATGTCATCAAGATTCAGACCAAGTTCAAATTTATTTGGGAGCCTAATCACTATCGATTTCAGGAAGGAAAATCTGCTGCATTCCAAGAAAAGTTTTAAAATAAATTGTACACGTAATATGCCTTCACTAAGAAAACAGAGTTATGAGCCAGGTGTGGTGGTGCACATGTAATCCCAGCACTCAGGAAGCTGAGGCAGGAGGATCATCGCAAGTTTGAGACCAACCTGGGCTACAAAGTGAGCTCAAGGTCAGCCTGAACAGCACAGTGAGACCCTGTCTCAAAAAGACCAAAAAAAAAAAAAAAAAACCAGAAAAGGAAATAGTGTTATTATGGCTTGTTATGTAGATGTTCCCAAACCCTCATATGCTCATAGGTGGAGCTTCTGGAAGCAACTGGAGCACGGGTGTGATACTAGATCATGGGTATGTGATACTGGATAAGTCCATTGATTGGTTTAGCACAGTTCTGGATGTGGCTGATGGATTTACTCAAGAGGGAAGACCCACCCTGGGCATGGGTGATACCAACCAATAGGCTTGCAACCTGGATGGAATAAAAATGGAAAGAAGGAAGTCTCACTGACTCCTGCCTGCCATGCTATGAACGGTTTCTCCTCTGGGGAACCAGTGAACTAGGGACTGAAACCCTACAAATGATAGGCTAAAGCGAAACTTTTTTCCTTTAACTTGTAGGTATTGGGTATTTTGTTCCAGCAATGAGAAAGTCACTAAAATGAATAGTACCCATAAGTTTCATATTTTTAATTTCCCAAATTGCAATTCAGAAAATAGCCTCAAGAACATTCCCAAACAAGCCAATTATTATTACTGATTCTGATATATTCTTTACTACTAAAAGTTTAGTGACCAGCACCTTTTCTTTTCTATTAGTTGTTAATGCATGAGAGTAAAAGTCCCTGCTTCATGTTTCCCTTAGAAGCAAGGAATACGTGAACTCACCAACTACAATGTACTACTTACCACTAAACATGCATTGTGAGAACTTAGCTAATGACAAAATTCAGGTGCTATTTCAGAGCATTAGAATGTTAAAGCACTAAAATAATTCCTGCATTGGCTGCCAGTCTCATATTAGATCTTACTATACAGTAGCTTTGTGAGTAAAGTCAGAGAAAGTTTGCTAACATACACATTTTAGGCTTCTCCCTCACAGAGCTGCAACTAGTAATAAAAGGAATAAAATCAGCATTCTCTTTTACTTACCTAAACAAATTCATATTCACCCTAGGGAGGGGCTACCTACAGGCTGCTGCAGAAATATATTTTGTTGTAGAACGTTGGTACTTCATGAATAGTTCATGCTATGAGTACCTTTGAAATCTATAAGCTGGGGGGGTATTTTTTAATTTAAATAATAAAAATGGCACTCAAAACATACTTGATAAAAGTGTTCCAGCTATACTTCTACCAGAACAGTTTGGAATACTCTAGAATCAATGAGGTCAGAGTATCCCAGTGAGGACTAAATTGTTACTTTTTCTCTGTAACAACACACGGTATACACTTGGCTGGTAGAAATACTGACTTTAGTAAGTAATGGTTTACCCTGAAAAGGTCTTTTATTCATTTAAAAGCAGGTTCTCAGGATCTTCCATGGATCCCCACTTTTCCCGCGCAGGAGCAGCAAGGGAACAGGTAGGGAGCAAGCCTTGGTGTGCGTAGCAAAGGCTGAACTCTCAGTCACGTGACAGTGACATAAAAAGCACAGGAATGAACAGAGTTTGCAGGAACAGAATGTGATTCAAAGAAGGAGTCAGACTAATCACACACACAAATAATGAAACACAAGACCATGTAGTAACGATTCAACGCCGGCAACTCACCTGTCTCAATCCCAGTGTCTTCGTGTCCCACATCTGCTTTATATTCCAGAAAAAGGGCTGCTCGCATTTCTGACAGGAATCACTTTCCAACCACTGAGGAGCCTGGGAGAGCAGAGAGTCACAGCATCAGCACACCTGCGTGTTTACACCGGTGTTTCAGAAACGAATACAGGAGTCCTAGAACTTGCTGGGGTTGCTACTTCTCCTTCCTTTCACTGTATATTTGAATGTGTTGTCACAATCAATATTATGTTTGTGTCTTGCATAATTCCTACAATTTCAGCACTGTTTACAGGGTTATTCAATTTGAAATCAGGAGGGGTACTAATTCAAGTTTTATTGTGAACTCTTAAGGGTGGTCTTTATGTTTTTATTTTTTTAATGCTCAAGTTTTTGAAATCTATATCCAGTTGAATAAAAATCCATTTCTTGCAGAGTCTAGTAAAACACCACCTGGGGGCACACACCTGTAATCCAGCACTTAGGAAGCTAAGGCAGGAAAATCAACCTGAGTTCGAGGCCAGCCTGAACTACGTAAGGGAGACATTGCCTCAAAAAAAAAAAACAAAAAAAAAAAACCCGAACAAACAAAAAAAGAGAAATATTTTGTAAGTGCCACAGGCAGTTTTTCTTTTTTCCCTCCAGTGCTGGACACTGAGCCCAGGGCCTTGTGCATGCTAAGCAAATGCTCCAACACTGAGCTGCAACCCCATCCCTCCACAATTTATTTCACTAAATCTCATCACAAACCTAGGAAATCTAGGCAACATTATCCCCACTCTACAGGCACTTTCTGTGGCTCAGAAATGGAAGCAGTGGTCCAGGCAAGGCCGTTAGCAGGCAGAGGGAGGAAGAGACCCGGGAGCCCAGTCTGTGGCTCCTGCCTGTCCACCAGGCTGTAGGTCAGCCCCTGAGGTCCTACCCACTTCACCACGTGGTTCTCCCAGCATGACTGCAGTGTGATGGCCACAGAACTGAGCTCTTGCCCCGGGGAGGGTAAGGCTTGAAGAAAGAATTTACTGAGCTACAGGGTAGAGAGGCTCTAGGGAAGAAAAAAATATGCTTGAAATCACTTGAGGTAAAATAAAATAAGCATCAGAAATAAATAGGCTCTTGGAACATATCTTAATATAAAAATACCCATAACGTCATTTCTTTTACTACTCAGAACTCGGTGTTAAACTATAAATTACTATAGCCATTCTGCTCTGCTATTACCTAAGGAGAAAAAGTTTTGGACTGAGAAGAGCAGAGGAGAATATTAATCAAGCCATGACTGTTTCATTTTTCTGAATCATTCTCCATCTAACGTGCATGGAAATAACGGGAGTCCTTCCACGTCTGTCACACTAACTGCTGCCATTTACCTATACTTACTGATGTGCCAAATACCACACATTCTATAAGCTGCTGGCTCCAAACACATGCTCTCTTGAGAGAGTCATTCCCCATCATTACTGTTTCTTGCTCATGTACATGTTGTGTTTGTCTTCACAAGTGATGCAGGAGTGGAGCTGGAGAATATGGGGTCAGTCCTCTTATGTCTTGGGGTAAGGCAGTCCTAGAAATTCTACAGAAGCCTAACTCAAGAGTCAGAACCTTACAGATTACAGCTGTGCTCCTCTGTACTACATTTACTCAGCCAGAAAAAAAAACAAAAAAAAACCGCCAAAAGTAATTCATCTTTTTGATACCACTACTTCTACTCCACCTTTTCCACAGATGACTAAAAGGAAGTGATTCACCCACACAGGAAGCACCTTGACTGATGGGACTATTTTTCCTGCCCCCGAGGTACCAACTCAGTTCACCACTATGTAACCTGGAAGGAAGCACTCTGGTTCTCCTTTCTTGGAATGTGTAACTGGTAGCTGATAAATACACAACACTACAAATAGATGTTTGCAAAAAAAAAGTCTTATAATTCTGTAATCTTGAGCCAGTGTTAAACATGGTAAATAACAAATTACTATTAAGCCTTACCTAGAGACTTTTAGAAAATAAAAAAAGAGAAATTATTTCCTGTTTGTTTTGCAAGGTTACTAAAAGAGAAATCCAGCCATCACTATGTCCCTGCACATGAACTGAGTTTTATTACTTATAGAGTGGTCTACTTCCTTCACTGTATTACCAGTTTCTTGTGAGCAACAATCTTTATATATAGAACACAGCTGCCATGAATCTGCAAATGACTAATGTCACTGTTTTTTAACAGATCATTGTTTGATTATTTCTTCTGGAATATGCTAAAAATGAAGGTTGATTCAGTGACAATCAGACTAAAAGTAACTAGAGGCAACGCAGAGACGACACATGTGCGAGGGCCAGAGAGAGGCTTGGAGTAATCCAGTTCCCACGGTCACGGCGCACAGTGCGCCGAACCACACAGCGATCAAAAGGTCAGCGCCCAGCACGCTGTGTGATGCTCCCGGAGGTAACACGCACCTAATGCAGCATGGACTTTTTTTTGGTGGTTACCAGGGCCTGAACCCAGAGCCTCACTCACACTAGGCATGCACTTTATCGCTGAGCTACCTCACCAGCCCTTTTTATTTTCTGTTTTAAAATAAGAGTTTCACTGAGCGGCACAGGCTGGTCTTGAACTTGTGATTCTCCTGCCCTCTCCCCCGGCAGCTGGGATCACAGGCTGGCACCACCACGGCCAGCTCCTCTAAGCCACTTATGTTTTCACTTCTTTCCAGACTGTGCAGTCACCCTGTGGCCGCTTGGTAAGTGTCTCTTAAAGTGCGGCTCATTAACTCTCACACCCTAACTCTTCTCCAGAATCGGTGTTTAAGCTACCAGCATCGCAGGTTCTGGAGGCCACTGAGGAGACAGTGCCGGTACCGGCAGAGCGGAGAATGGAGATCCTGCCCAGATACCATCTGATGACATCTATAAATAGCCCACAGAATGTACTATATAGATCCTGGCACCACAGGTCTGTTTCCAGAAATTTGCCTGAAATAACTACAAATCACAGAATGACAAGGTCAAGCATATTTACTGCCATATTATTTAGGAAAAAAAAAAACAGGCAGATTGTGTAGTCCCTTACAGTATCATCTACAGAAACACAAATTCAGTAATTTCACGTTATGGGAGAGGGAATGAACACTCAGAGAAACTGAGGCACTTAGGTAAACAAAGACTCACAGCTAGTTAGTGGGCCAACTCAATTAAAAATCAGGATGCCTGAAAGGAACACTATGATGACATCAACGAGGTGAAAAATAAAAATGGACAAATGGAGACATTTTCCCAGAAAAACAAGTGCCTTGCTCTGTCGCTGACATCCCTGGCACACCCTCTGGCTTCTGCACAGGAATGCCGTGGGGCCACAAGACAGCTCCAGAGGCCTCCACACAGCCCAACCCTTGGGCCTGCAAGAAGGGTGACTGTCTGCCCACGGCTGCCCGTGTACTGATCGAGGCTGAGAGGCAGAGGCTAAACGCTGGCTGCAGGCACACAGCGCTTTCATGAGCAGACGCTCTCAGGTGATGAGAGCATGTGTGCAAAAGGACATGCAGGCCGAGTCAGAGGACGCCGGCAGGTGCAGGTGTGACAAACAGGGACTGTTCACCGCAGGGGTGGGGGGACTGAGGGGCTAGGCTCTCAGGGTCTCTCTTCATCGGCCCTGCCCCGCTCTGGCCTCTTACCTCCTCTCTGCTGACGTCCATGTTCCACACTGCAATCCCACCATCTGAGGAGCAGGAGACGAGCTGCCTCGTGAGCTGAAGGTAGCACAGGGCCTGCACCCTGTCACTGCGAATAGCACACAACAGACACAGTTTTCATTTAGGCTCCAATCGCTTCCCTCATACAAGTCAGTAAGTGGCACTGTATCACTGAATACCTGGTATGGTAAATGGGGGGATGGGGTCACACCACGAACTACTTGGCTTATTACACAGAATTATAATTTTTCTAACATAAACACCACTGCTTCAAATCGGTCACTCAGAATTTTGAGATAGAGACAGAACATAGACTATGGTTTTCTACACCAATCTCTGTGATTTCTCTTTTGAATGCACAAAATTTATCCATTTGTTCAGAAACAAGGCACAGCCGTGTAACTTCCCCGCTGGAACACAGTCCATATGAACACGCAGACACCATGAAGATGACACCAGTAGCGTGCACACGTGGGCACACACTCACGCATGCTCACATGGCACACAGCCACTTGCTGACGGGTAAAAGAGATGTACCCCCTTTCTGCGGGCCCGTCAGACCATTCTTGCAGATGATGCCCAGGAAACAATCCCAGGCTTGAACTTGTGTAACTCATCTTTCCTTGGCTAAATTTCAACTTGATTCTGATTACAGTAAACACGCACAGGCTGGTCAACAACATGGAAGGAAGGAAAACAGGGTAAAGGGGTACAGGCTTCTGAGCGGCCAAAGTCCTCGCCGGCAGTCTCCAGCTCACACCTGTCCTAAGCAGTTATTGGACGGTCACTGCTTGAAAAGGTGGCAAATGCTCTTTGGCCCGAGGAGGAAGGAAGCCTGTACTTTTTTTGCAGGAAGGGGGGCTGCTGAATACTAGATATTCAGGACCCACAAAAAGGCATTACAAGTGCACTTGGCCTTATGAAACTGCTGGCTTAAAAGACAGGGTTTGGAGGAAGTCTGGACGGGAGCACTAATGCTTTCTCCTCGCTCCCCACATTCAGACTCCTTCCCCACTTCACCAGAAGTCACGCACTGGTGGCCCTGGAGCAGGAGCGTCCGGCCTTTCCTGCCTCCGATGTCCCACATGATGATGCTGTTGTCGGAGGCTCCTGAGAAGAGTAACCGTTGGATCGGGTCCCACCAGAGGCAGGCAACACCACCTGGGGATTGCAGAGAGGGTGTGTCACATGCAACTCTGCACCAGGAAATGCACATCTGACAGCTGAATTGTGAACTAGGAGCGGCTGAGCCTTTCAAAATCCTTCTCCCGAGTCACAGAGAGGACCCAGAATATCCATTATCCAAAGCTGTAAGAACAGGGTTTTCAATTGTGCATCACATAACTTTTAATACGTACAATGACTAATAAAGACATTGCTTTCTTGTTCTGTATTAACAAATTATAAGGTAACTATATATGAAATGTTAGTTCAGAAAATGTTATTGGAGAAGAAAGTTCCTACTAATAATATTCTGAGAAAAGTTAGTGTAGTTTACCATGTTCATTTTGCTTTTTTTTTTTTTTCTGGTACCGGGAATCGAACTCACAATCTTGCGCTTGCCAGGCAGGCGCTGTGCCGCTGAGCTAAATCCCCAACCCCACCATGTTCATTTTATACAAGATGAAAATCTAGGTTATTACAGGTCTCGGGGACCTTGTAGGCATTTTACCCTAAGATGCCTATAGTAAAGAAAAGTGAATGTCTCAAAAAAAAAAGCATGCACGTAAACCAAACAATGATGCCCTGAAGCACTTAGGTCAGAATCCAAGCCTTACATTTCCCTCTATATCTTGGCTGGCTTATCAAATTTGATACCCTAGGAAATCTTTTTTTCTATGTATTTCTCTTTCAATGGACCTTTACATTATTCATTATTATCTGCCTAGGAAAAACTTTTAATTAACTAAACAAAACTGAACCAGTTGCACAAGTCTGTAAGTGGCATTGCATCACTGAATATTAATGATAATTTCGTATATATATGAGAACTATTAAAATCATATTCATAAGCTCTCCCATGATAAAAATGAGAAAAGTCGTCTTCTGTACAATTAGCCTCAGGAGTCAAGTCTGCACGATTCTGACTGCTTAATCCTATGCGCTGCACAGTGCAGCTGGAGCCTAAGGGGAGACAAATACCATATGCCCTATGAAAACCTCAAGGTAGGCAGAGCCCCTTCTGTCCTTAGTAAACCGGAGAAAATTTAAGGGTCTGGAGGTCACGAGAGGATTAGTCAGAAGCAGAACATGGTTTCCTCAGGGAACGCTGCTTTCCGGCCCGAATCTATTCGAACTTGCCGTTCTCCCTTCCTCCCTTTGCCCCTAGAAAGCTCCTGATTTGATATAGTCTTTTTTACCTGAATGAGCTGGCTAGAACATATAGCACACATTTGAGTTTCTATACTTAAGACACTTGTCACAAATAGGTCCACCACTAATCCTTTCAAATCTTCAGTTCCTCAATCTAAACCAGATAGCCTCCAAGATTCTAATTTCTAACTCATGCCAGAACTTTTACGACATGAGGACAAACTGCATTAAAACTCAGTGCTCAACAATTTATTACGCATATGTACGCAGCAAGCTGTCCAACGTGGCCAGTAAGTTTTTAGAGTCCCTTCACACAGCCCTGCCAACTCACTGCACTAGAGAAGGAAGCACACTTCCATCCAGTAATTCATGTCCCCCAGTCCCTAGCCAGTGTGTTGCCTAAATATCAGGCTGAACCAGTGCACACATTTCTTCTAATGGTATTGACCTGGGAGGTTCTGCTGAATGTCCTACAAACTGACAGATTAGACAGATAAGAATAATGACAATTCTTCGAAAGGTCTTACTACTTATAAGGAATCTTAAAGAGCTTAAGAAAACAAAAACTTAAAAAGATAAGCAATAAAGTATTATCCATTCAAGCAACTTAGAAGGGTTTTTTTACAATATGAAATTGAACCTTACCTTCTCTTAGTTTTCTCTCTAAATTCCATCAAATTGAAAACCGACAGATCGTGGCCAATTATCAGATTGATCTGACAGACCAGGAAGAGTTGCTCATTCATCAAACTATGAAGATGAGAACTGAATTTCAATGCTTAAGTCAGATGAGAACCCTGGGTGGTAAGGCAACTTACCTTCATGCCCTTTGAGGGTTGTGATGACTGTGCATGTGTTCTGCTCAAGTTTTAGCAGGGTGATCTGTCCAGAATAATCACCAACGAACGCGTACTGAGTATCAAAATCATACCTGAGGAGAAGCAGTCAAGGACATACAACACCACTCTGCCAGTCTTCCCATAAAGAAGACAGCAGAGTTAGTCAGAGCTGGAATATAGAAATCATGCATTAAACCTAAAACTGTAGTAAGAGAGGAAGTGCTCAAATGAAAATCACACAATGCATAAATATTGAAAATAAAAATTAAAACAGCTAGAATTAAGGGAAAAGTCAATATTTATTCAACAAGAATTCACCGAGTTCCTCTTTGTACACCAATTCCTAAAAGTGGCTTTAAAAGAGCTGGTAGTTATAATAATCAAGTTATAATAAAGTAATGAGTCAAATGATTAAATAATGAAAACAAGAATACTGGGGAAAACGGCCTTTTATGAAATATTTCTAAAAACAATGTCAAACTGGCAACAAATACAGGGCACGAACACACCATTCTTTCGGCAGAGATGAGTTAGCTTTAAATGAAGAGGATGATTTGCTCTAGATTACTGTGGACAGCTTAATAACTCAAAAGCTAGTTACCTGTCGCAGAAGTAAATTTCCTTCAAGATATATGAACTACTGGTAAAAATTCATTACTTTCTCAATTTGTATCCATAAACATTTAAGGAAAACCAGTAGTCTATGCACCATGGGGTAACTCCTATTTAAATAGGCTAACTGCTACTATTCCAGAAGACAAATAAAAGGAACACAAGCCGGGCTATGCTACGACTCTGTGCCATGTTCTATACATTAAATCCACTCTAAGAGCCCTTGCACATGACAGAAGCACTACTTCAGAACACAGTGTTTCTGAGTATTTTTCCTTTTTTGACCTGGTGTGGGGTACTATTTTAAATATTTGTTTTAAATATCTCATTCTGTCCATTCATTTGAAGTAAAAATTTTTAATAAAAGTTCTGATAGGAAAAGGATTTTATGATGTCAGGCCTTTCACTCTGAAACTTCCCCAGCATACTTGCCTACTGCTGGCTGTCCCGACCCTGTCCCTGGGACGCACAGCAACCCAAAGCCGCCAGGAGCCAGAGGGAGCTTTGTGTGAAACAAATCCACATGGCAGTGTGGGTTTTTAGGGTAATTTTTAACATTTTGGGGATCCTAAAGCACCTCTGAGACTACTGTAAGGAGGACAGACATTACAGGGATACATGCACACGTGTGTGCACACACAGCACGAAACACATATTTTATACAAAATGCCCTTAGGTCATTTATGAAACCCAGGGTCCATGTATTATATAACCTTGTTATATATTTTCTTGGAGTATCTGCAAACAATCAGTTACCAGAGACCAATTCTTTTTTCCTTTCTTCATACAATACAGTTTTTCAATTTGCAATGCAAAGCAATAGAGGGAGGAGATGCATTAACCAGGGCTTGGAGATTTCCATAATCTTATACTTAAAAATGACCAATTCCTGGCAGAGAACAGCAAATTCTTTTAATTCTACTAAACCCATTTTATACCAAGGAAAAATAAGATTCAGGAACTTTTGGATTTTAGATGAGTAGGAATTATTCATTCAATCTTTGGATCTCAATTAGTAACTGATGATCAGATCCAAAACAGTACTAAGAAAATGAGGACCGGAAGGAGCGGACCGGAAGGAACAGCCCTGCGCCGCGGAGGATACTGTAAACACGAAGCCCAGGAGGAGAAGAAGTGCCGCCCCAGCATGCTGCCGCTCCGCGTGCACATCCAGCTCACGCACTTGTCGTGGCCAGTGCTGATCACCCACTCCGTGGCCACGCTGAAGACGATGGCAGACACCCTGTTCTGATGAGCTGCCGGGCAAGAAAGGGAGAAGTGACCTTCAGAAATAACGCCCCATGTGGAGGCTACCACGCCACAGACCATTAAAGAGCAATGTTCAAGAACTATTCAATAATAGATCAGAGAACGGGTTTCTGGTGTTTGGCTTTTGTCTTGGTTTGCTTTGTGCCTATGCTTAGGAAAGCATTGCTATTGTATTCTAAAAAACCCTAACTATCAATGAGTTCCACATAGAAGGCAGCGTTCTTTTTTTTTTTTTTAACAGAGCAATTTTTAAAAACTTTATTCCTTCACCAGTTGATCTGAAAAACACAGGCACTGTACAGAGCACCTGCAATTTTCTGAAATGAAAAAAGTGACAAAACATTTTGTTTCTGAAATAATTTTTCTTTGTGTGTAACTGTATGTTCAAAGTTCTCTGTTCCAAAATAATAGCTATGAATGAGCAAGCTCTTCTGTCTGTCATCCCACTTTTGAAATATATTTAGCTTAATTGTAAGCCACACCAAGGCAGGGATCTGACTCTACTTCATCTGGTACAGGACCTTGCATGCAGAAGGTGTTTCATAAATGACCAGTCTGATGAATGAAGTCAAAGGCTACCCAGAGAAGGTGTTGTACACCTGGGAACTCTCCCCAAAAGTGAGCACGGTCAGGTGCAGCTGGTGCTAGGCTGTTATGCAGAACAGTTAAATACTCCTGACGGGTCCTGAGACTTAAAGCATGCTCTACAGCAATTAATCTTAAACTCAAGTAAACCAACTCCAAGCTAAGGACTAAGTGATGAATGTTCTGGGGCTCAGTGTTTGTTTGTTTTTTTTCCTGTTTTAACATTTCTAATTCCCACAAACACAGGTTAGATATATGCCCATTTTTAGATAAGGAATCCATGCCCAAAGTCTTGCAAGTAATTGATTAACTTGGTCTGTCTGTCCTCAAACACTTTTCCTGCTTAAATCTGCAGTTGTCAAACTCAGGACAGTGACAAGATTTATAAGAGCTCCTGGCAAAGATGCTGGAGTGAACAGTCGATTACCGTTTCTCAGCAAGACCTGTCCTATTTCTAAGACTACATTCTTCCCGCTGTCTTATTTTTTAGATGCTATTTCTCTTATGAAATTATAGTAAAATATGTTAACGCTTATTTGCTTCATTTTTTAAAAATGGATACTTGACAAAAGAAAAAAACAGCTGGCATACCTTAAAGCCTATAAAAAACTGACAGCCAAAATATAGGTACAGTGAGATATATAAATGAGAAATAATTTGAAAAAGAACTTAATGGAAAATAAAATAACTTATTAAGGCATTTCGTTTTTCACAAAAGCACTGGTCAGGCACATGACATCTCCAAATTCCTAGGTATATATTTAATAAAAGGTTTACAGATTCTTGTTTTAAAAAAAGATACACCTGCAGTGACAACTGAGAAGTCAAAGTTGTTTCAGTTGTAATAACACTATAGTGAGCGTACATTATTCAACAGTGTAGGACTGTCACTCACTGTCACAGTACAGTTTCCAGAAATGAAGTATCAATTTCAAATCCATGGTCATGATTGTATCACTTATCTCTTAAGTTAGGATCAGGTTAACAGTATCTAGGAAAAAACAATTTTGTCTTACTAAAGTTCAAAAATGATTTTCCTGAATCCTAAAATTCAGCAAGACCAAAATTCACCAAGATAAACTATATTTATCTAACACATCTAGACTCTAATTTCACCTTTATCCACAGCCTGAAATACAAAATTTGAGGCTGTTATGCCTCAGGCAAAGTTTCTGGGAATCAGCTAATTGGTCTGTCCGGAATGCACAATTTAATCAATTATTTGACCCTGCCCTGTCAGTCTAAAGTAAACATGGAAATTTGTTTTCCTGAAGTGTAAAAACATCTCAATGTACAATGTAGAGTTAAAAACTGGAAAAAAGTGTAAATAAAGCTTAAATAATTTTCAAACTGCTAACTTTTTGACTACCAACCTGGCAAGAAAAAACTACGAAGACTTCACGTGCAGGCGCTCTCAATCACTATTCATGGGCTTGTAAAAATTTACGTGACTGCTGAAACGGTTTACAAAACAGATCTAAAGCAGTGGCGGCGAACCTATGGCACACATGCCGCAGAGGGCTGTTTGCATCTCTGAAAGCTATACAAGGTTTGCCACCACTAATCTGGAGGATTTAAAAAACTTAAATATTTCACTCACTTATTTCTACTTATAGCAATTTGTGTTAAAACAGAAATATTCAAAATTACAGAGCGAGAGTCAGTGTAACAGCCGACGATCACACAGTCACACACAGCTATAAACTGTATACAGATATTCTTTGCTTAACAACCTGTATGTAAACAGCTGTTAGATGCAGGAATGCCAGCAGCAGCCCAGCCTTACGGGGGCCTCTTCTACAGAACAGTGTTGCAGTTTCTGGTGACTGTACTGTACAGTACAGTACTGTAGTCTATGTTCTGTTACACACTGCAATACTGATGTAAGAGTTAAGCAAATAAAAGCAAAGTTATCAAGTTGGAGTTTCCTTTATCCATTTCTTTTTCTGAATTCTGTAATGTACAGACTATGTACAATTCCTCATATAGCGAGCAATTCACTCAATGAGCTAGTTGCAGGAACGGAACTGTCACTACATGAGGAATGTCTGCACAGCCTCAGAGATGTACACAAACATACACACTGTATACAGCAGTGAGTTGCTAAAACATCAAAGTGCTGCTGTTTATGTCCAGTAGTAGAAGAATGCTTAAATTAAGTCTCATACACACACCCAATACACAACATTTTAAATATCAATGAGGAGGAAAAAGTGGTAAATAACTAATCGTCTCTCACTCAATTGTGGGAAATAAACTAAAAAGTTAATGTGAAAAGCTACGTCTGATCGCAGAGATGATGTTCTAGTTCTGTGTGTGTATATCTACATGCATCTGTGTGTAATAAAGTATATAGGTTTGTCATACTTACCTGGGTAGGTCTTGATAAAGTTCATTTTATTAAAATCTTCAGAAACGTGAAATTCCTAAAAGTACACATATACAATAAGAAAATAATTATATTTTTTAAAACAAGAGAAAATGAACTTTTCAAAATGAAATGAGGTCCAAGTATGGCTGTCATAAGACCTGGACGCTATGACGAGCTGTTTAGGGATGGTATGAATTACTCCTTTCATCAGGTCCATTCACGGGCCAGCGAGGAGGCAGACGGGACTGAATAAAGAAACGGACAAAGTGCTACTGATTGGCACGGTATTTTTATCCAGTTCTCCCTCCACAAGTGAATGCTGTATGTAAGTTCTCCCTCTAAAGTACAGATTATTGCTAATTTTGCTCTCTTGGCCAAAAGACATCCAAGACGATGCACAGGGAGCAGAACTGCAAAGACCCACAACTGCAACGGAGATCGTAACAACAGAGAAAACAAGTCACGGGGTAGCTCAGAGGTTCAGAGGGGCAAGTTTATAGGTATTCAGCGTACCACATACTCCCAAAACTTGGTTCTCCTTTTATACTCCTTTTTTTTTTTTTTTAAGACAATGCACTTCATAACTTGGGAAAAAGTATATACTTTTAATGAAAAAATACGCCACAGCATAAAACTGAGGAAAAAAAAAAAAAACAAAAAACAAAGAAAAGACACTACCTAAAATTCCATTAATTGATACTAAACTGTTAAGTTCCTAAGTCTCTGGATAACACACACATCAGGAACTGCTGACTGACAGGAGGAAAAAATGCACAAGAAATACAGACTCCCTGCTCTTCGTCTTGCTTTGCCAAGTACAAAACTCCCTCTGCGCTGCATGTAGTACTCATCACGGGGTGCAGGGCCACGGGATCAATTGCTGACTGACGCTAACTTGGGCTGACACTGTCCCTTTCCAAGGAGCCCTAAGAGCTTATGTGTTGTCCTGTAACTGCAAAGTCTATGCTTTAACCAAAAGCCACAAGAAAGGTCCCTGGAGAGAGAGATGCAGGACCAAGGCCACCCCTGGGAAACCACTTGAGGGCTTCTTGATTCATACATCTGCGCACTTCATCGCGACATTCCTGCAGAATCCTCACAAGGAGAGAAGGGGAGCTGCGGCCTCACCACCGCGTGCGCGGTGCGTCCATCACCAGCAGTGTATCCGCAGCAGCCCTTGCCTCCTGCCTCCTGCTGCGTGAACTGTTTGGGCAGGAGCCTGAACTTCCTCCTCGCCCTTAAACAACAACAAAAAACAAGGCTTCTTTAGTTTAAAAAGCAAAGCAAAAACAACAGTAAAACTCTTTAACTACGACAACGCTCCCTGTCCCCTTCTCAGACAAAAACTCCCTAAAGATCAGCCCCCGCTGGCTACCCTTTGACTGTCTCCTCCGGATCACCCCAGTGTCCCCAGAGGCTCTGCTATGTCTGCATACAAAGGGTTCTCCCTGCCTCCACCCGCTGCCTGCACACCAGCGGCCTGGTCTCCGGCTCTCCCTGCACCTCCTCAGGCTTGCACAGCTGCACCACCTGCCCTTCCGGCCACTCTTCCCCCTCTCGCTCCGACTCTCCTGGGGGTTTCAGTCCTGACTTTCCCTTAACACCGACGTTCCTGAATACGGCCTGGCTCTCTGCTCTTCTCAGTCCACCTGCTGCCCAAGGTTCACAGCCCCACATAGTACCCACAGTACTCTCCACAGGCAGAGAAGAGCCGACACCGGCCCAGAGGAAGCCCTTGAGGCTCAGGCTCACCCACCCACCCGTCAAGACTGAACTCATCTGTCTCCTGGAAAAGGGTCAAAGTCCTCACATCCACATCCAGTCAAACATCAGGTCCTGCTTCCTTGAAGCTGTCACTCTCCTCTGCCACCAGACCAGTATTCCTCAATCTCAGGGTGACACCCTGAAACAGCCCGTACCTGGCGTCCCTACTTTCAGCCTTACCCCTCAAAACCATCCTCCACATGCTGGCACCCCGAGCTAACAGAAACCAGAAACCCCAAGTCATCATCCCCTCGCCTAAGGCTCTTCGATGGCTGCCCACGGGCAGTGTCCCCGACACATCCGCCCTCAGGTTTGTCTAGAGGCCTTGCTAAAATACAATGCCCAGGGCCACTGTGTTCCCTCTTGCAAAGTGGCCACCCGCAAGCTGGAGGGTGCGTTTCTTCTACTTTAGCTTGGCCCAAACTCACTCTGCAGTCTGTTTCTTTTCCTACCTTTAATAAAACTTTGCTACCATTCAAAATATAAAATAAAATAAAAATAATAAAATAAAATGAAGTGAAATGCCCAGCTCCTCCCTGGGGAAGGTAAAGCCGTGGGTCTGACATGGAGTCAGAGGATGTACTGCCCTAAGTTCCCTCGATAATCTGTACACCTGCACAAGTGGGAAACCGCTTATAACAAGCCGTTTCTTAATGCCATACTCAAGGGTTATTATCGGCCCTGCTTCCCTGGCTGCCTCCCTAATGGGCTAGAGAAACTCTGGGCTTGGGGCTGGCCCCCGTCTCCCCTAACTTCCTCCCCTGGTGATCACCGTCACTCTCACGGCCAGAAGTGACCTGTGTGCTGATGATTGACGCAGGCCATCCCTCGGCTCTGAGTTTGTCTGACCATTTCGATGCGTTGCTGATATCTCAAACACATGGCCAATTCCTCATTGTTCCCTTTCTTCCCACAGAGACACCACTGTCCAATCAGTTTTTCAAGCCAAAGACTTGGTGGCCTCTTCCTCTTCCTGCCCACAACCCAACGTCACACATGTATTCGGAAGTAATTCAAACCCATCCACTCTGTCAACCTCATCACCACCACGCCCTCCGCTAGACAGCTACAACAGCCTGCTCCACTCCTGCTGCCTTCCAGTCATTCTCGAAAAGCAGCTACACTGATTCTTCTAAAATGTAAATTACACAATGTCATTCATCTGTCCAAAACCCTGTAACGGCTTCGCACTGAACTTACAGTAAAATTTCAAACTTGATCCAGGCCCTACAAGACCCTGGCCTCTGCCCCTGCGGGGTCCCTCCTTGTCACTCAGTACCACCTGGGCATAATGACCTTCTCCAAATCCTTGAACACACACGCACACACACACAGATCCATCTCAAGCCTTCGCAAAGCATTTGCTTCTGGAAACTTCCCTGGCTTTCTATTTCGCTGATTCTGTGAGAGAATCCAAAAAGGAAAGAATAATCTAATCTTTAACAAAGGTTGCTGAGATAACTAGATAGCCACATGCAAATGAATGTGCATGGAACTCTCCCTTACACCATATATAAAAATTAACTCACAATGCAGCAAAGATCTAAATGTGAACACTAAACTTTTTAGAAGAAAACATAGGTATAAATTGTCCTTTATTCCTATAAAAATAGGTATAAGTGACCTTGCATTAGGCAATGGTTTCTTAGGTGTTATACCTAAAGCACAAGCAGCCCCCAAAAAAGACTTTAACCATTTTTGAAAAGACAACACATAGGACAGGAGAGAATATTTGCAAACCATGTATCTGATAAGGATCTAGTATCTAGCATGTACAAAAAGCCCTTACAACTCAACACTGAAAAACTCAACACTGAAAAAACCAATTAAAAATAGGCAAAGGACCTAAACAGATATTTCTCCAAAGAAGATACACAAGTGGCCAACAAACTCATTGACAGTGGTTAGCATCATTAGTCATTCGGGAAATACAAGTGAAAACTACAATGAGGTATCATTTCATAGCCACCAGGATGCCCATAATAAAAACAAAACAAAAACAGAAAGTAACTGTTGGCAATGATGTGGAGAAACTGAAACCCTCATATATTGCTGGTGGAAATGTGAAATGATGCTGTCATTTTGAAAGACATTTTGGTGGTTCTTTAAATATTAAATACACCAACTCCACTCCTATATATACCCAAATGGATTGAAAACATACATTCACGTTACACATGAACTGTATACAGGATGTTCAATGCTGCATTATTCCCAATAATCAGAAAGTGAAATAATCCAAATTTCTATCAATTAATGAAACAAAGCATGGATTATCTCTAAAATAGAACACTATTCCACCATAGAAAGGAATGAAGTGACTAATTCAAGTTACAACATGGGGGGCTGGGGATTTAGCTCAGCAGCAAAGCGCCTGCCTGCCAAGTGCAAGGTCGTGAGTTCGATTCCCGGTACCAGGAGAAACAAACAAACAAACAAACAAACAAAAAAATGCCAGGGATATAGCTCAGTGGCACAAGTACCTGCCTGGCAAGTGCAAGGTCCTGAGTTCAATGCCCAGTACAAAACAAAACAAAACAAAACCAGAGGTCTTCAAGTTACAACATGGGTGAACCTTGAAATGATATGTGAAGTGAAACATGACAGCCAGAAAAGGTAACACCACAGACACTGTATAAGATGTCCAGAAGAGACACATACATGCCTGTATTCAGAAAGTGGACCAGTGATTCCAGAGGCTGAGGGGAAGGGGGATGGGCAATGACTGCTAACAGCTATTTGGTTGTCTGGGAGACAGAAAGGTGTTTTGTAGGTAGAGAGTGGCGATGGTTACACAGTTTTTAGAGTACACTACCAAACCGCTCAACTACATACTTTAAATGGTGAATATTATAGTATGTGAATTATTTAAGGAAAAAGTAAGTATGTGCATATATATAATTAGACTGACAAAATACCATCCAAAATAGATTTAAAATTTCAGTATCTGGCCAACAGGTAATGTGAAGAGATGCCTGACACAGTCTGAGCTGCATCCCTCGCCTTCTTCACTTTCACACTGACGCTCACAATGCCCGAGACCTCGCCTTCAGCAGGGAAGGACAGGAGCTGTGAAGCTGTGCTTTGCAGACAGCCTGAGCACCAGGACAACCATCCTGACAGCATTCTGAGCTCCACAGACATCATTTACAGTTAAGCATTAACTAAAAATAACATGTTTAGGCTTAACATCTTTTTCTTTTTTGGTACCAGAAATCAAACTCAGGACATTGTCCTTGCCAGGCAGGTGCCTCTGCTGCTGAGCTATATCCCTGGCTCAAAATCTTTTTTTTTTTTTTTTGAGACAGGGTCTCACTTTGTAGTTCAGGCTGGCCTTGGCCTTGAACTCACTGAGTACTCCAGGCTGGCCTCAAACTTGTAGTGATCCTCCTGCTCTCGAGTGGTGGGATTACAGGGTGCACCACCCGTTAAATTGTCTGACATCAGTAAACACAAAGAGGTCAAAACAAAGACTCAAACTACCTACCATTACGGCTCCGTTATCCTGGCCCACAAATATCCGTCTGCTGTCGTGATGGTAAGCCATGGTAGAGCAAGGAGCTGTCGGAAAGACAGAGACCACATTACCAGCAAGCTCAGCATTTTAAGTTGTTGTTCAAAGTGCATTATTATTATAAACAGCTATAGGATAAACATTTTAAAAGGAGGACAAATTTGTTTTCTTAAAAATTAGGTAAACTAAAAATATAATTAATGTTCTCTCTATAGTTTAAAATCCTAATTCTAGAAATCTTCTTCATTATTTTTATAATTTTGGGTAAAGCGAACCAGCTGATGTCTCATCTGACAGAAATTCCAACCACTTGGGAGGTCAGTCACCCTCTGCCGCTGCCACCAATCCCTATCAAAGTCAAAGAGTAGCCAGAAGCCTGGCATAGCAGTACGTGCCTGTAATCCCAGCACTTGGGAGGCAAGAGGCAGGATGATCACTGTGAGTTCAAGACCAGCCTGGGCTACATAAACAAGTTGAAGGCCAGCTTGAACTACATAGTGAGACCCTGTCACAGAAGAAAAAAAACCAAAAAGATCAGCCAGAAACCATATAAAAAGGGACCCCAGCACCAGAATTTCTACTCCATGGCACCTGTGAGCAAGCTAGGAAAGCCACCCTGGGATTTCCTCCCCCGCTCCCCCGCAATGGTTAAAAAAAAATGTTCTCTTTTGCAATGACACACACAGCCCAGTCTGCAGTGACTGGAGCCATGATGTGTAGACAGGTCCTCTGGGTACCTGGAAAAGCTCCTGCCTCTTCTTGTGCACACACCCTCCCTGGCCTACCTATCCCTCTTCCAGAAATCAAGGCCCACAGAATGAGTTTCAGAAAGGAGAAACTCCAAATTGTCTCTTGCTAAAAATCAGAAAAAAAGCCAGAAATGGAATATTTGCAAAAAACAATGCCTGGGTTTTTACTGGGCCAAAAAATTTTAACCAACAGAAGAACCACAACCTGAAAATGCATTATGGGAAAACAAAACAAAATAAGTGAAGTTGACTTTGCTTTTAAATAAAATTCATTTAAAAAAAAAAAAAAAAAGAAGGGTGTGGTGATGTACAACTGTAATCCCTGTACTTCGGAGGCTAAGGCAGGAGAATCCCTAGTTTGAGGTCAGCCTCAGTTACACAGCCAGCCACTGTCTCAATAAACAAACAAAAGAAAGATATCTTCCTAGTGAGGTCATCATTGGAAAGTAGTTTAAAGTTCTTTTGCTGCAATGGACTGATATCTTCACCGAAGGAAGAAAGTACTGTAAATGATAATACTGGATTGCACCTGAAGAAAAAGACACAGGCAACAGCACGATCAAACCAGAGAAAGAGGCTATTGCAGCTGCACTCGGGAACTATAGGACTGACTTAAGTCTATTACCACCATACTGATGTTTAAGATTATAAAGAGCAATCAAATCTAACAATTAGAACCACAAACACATATGCATCTTTATACAATCCAAATGCTTTTCCATTATCAGGTGTAAACCAATTAATGATGCTTTGATGATTTCAAAGATTTGCTACCAGTTTTACATGCTCATCAGTAGGTACCATCTTTTCAATTCTTTGATCCCCAACTGCATAACCAACAGTGCAAATATGCAAAATCCCTCATTTGTGTAAAAATGTCAATGTGTAATGTAATGATAGAGAAGTTCTGCAATTAAAAAAATATAAAAAGTTTCCCTCCTTTGTTTGTTTTTTTTTTCCTCTCCTTTGTTTTGTATACAGTGATCCTCCAGGCTTTTTTCCTAGACAGGTTTCTACTGAGATAAGCAATTTAAATTTCAAAAAGAAGAGAAAGGGTTGGATATTCATAGTCTTATAAACAATGAAAACACAGATCATATCAGTGGACTTTTAAGAAGTCATCACGCCAGGCTTGGTGATGCATGCCTGTAATCCCAGCACTCGGGAGGCAGAGGCAGGAGGATGGTTGCAAGTTCGACACCAGTCCAGCCTGGGCTACAAAGTCTGCTTAAGGCCAGCCTGAACTGCATAGGGAACCCCGTTTTCAAAAGGCCAAAAAAAAGAGGCCACCACAACAGTCTAAAATCATATGCTTACAGCTCCGACCAGCGAGCCACGCCCAACCCACTGCACACTTTAATAAAGGCTCTGGTTTTCCAGGAACACAGCTGGGTCCCTTCATGTATGTACTCTACGGTTGCTTTCAGGCCAGTGGCGAGCGAGTAGTCATCAAAGACTCTTCGGCCCACAGAATCTAAATATTTACTCTCTGGTTCTCTGCATCAAAATATTCTGTGGACCTACTGTGGTGGACAGCACAGCATGGGAATTACAAACAGGCATGGATTACAATTCCAATCACAAGCAAGCGACTGGATCGCTCTGGCCTCAGTTTTCTCATCCACAAAATGATAAAAAATATCATCTACCTTGTACAGCATCCATCTTGTGCAACAGTTGCAGTGATTTCATGAATTTATATTACTAAAGAAAGCCTTGAGGCACACAGAAAAACAGAAACTAAGAGTGACTTTTCTTCAGCTGTAGTGGGTCCTAAAAGTGATTTCTGTTGAGTGAAGTGGTTATGGAACCACTGGACAACCTAAAGCAATGTACAATACAAAGCACTGCCTTAGCGATCAATCAAGTCGCAGGGAGAAGGTTACATCCGTGGGTAACCATGAAAAGACCTTTGGGTAGGTAATCTACAGAGAGTTTCTGGAGTCCACATGGCACTTTTCTTGCATTTTGAACTTAAATAAAAGTCATTCTAACATAGAGTAGTTTCTTAAAATTCATTCGTGATGTTTTCTTCAGACCATGTTCTTGCAGTTTTGTCAGCAGACACAGGTCCAGATGGAGGCCGTCAAGGAGCCTCTGGGAGCTGGGCGTGGGTGGATAGCGGCACAGGCAGGTGTCAGCACACACTGCAGTCGCTGTCCTTTCCGTCCCTCTGCGCTAGGAACTGCTGCTCAGGGAGGCCAAGGATGGAGACAGCCACACCCTGTAAGACCTAACGGCCTAAAGAACACACACTTCTGCTGGGCTTTTAGTGCCCTGGGAGAAAAACTAATTAGAAAGTTGTACTAAGTATTTGGGGAAAATACAAGCCAAGGAAATACAGGACACAATCCACCTCAGTGTCTATTCTCATGAGCATGAACTCAAGGTTGAGGACTCTAAGAGATTAAGCTAAAACCAAAATAAAAGCTATGGAGAAGGGCGGAGTGTGAGGAATAACATTGGCACCAGCGAGCTTTCCCCAAGGACGACAGAGCACTTCCCAGCCCTGGGATGAGCTCCTCATGCTGCTACTTTCCCCTACCAGACCTATGGCCCGGCCCTGGGAGCTAAGGCGTAATCAGCCCAAGGGAAGCCTACTTTGTTCTCATTACACTAAGTATCGGTCACTTCCTATTTCATTGTGAGAATTCAGGGTGAGAAACCAGGTTTACACATCATAATACATGAATACGTGGATAACAAGGAGGTACGGACTCTTGGCACAGTAAATGATGATCAGGTTTTCAGCCAGTCTTCTAATGTGCTACATATTGTAAAATTTTATCATTCTTTTGGTAATAGTTGTCCTTGTAATACTCTATAGATGGGTTTTTTTGTGTTTTTTTTTGGTACCAGGAATCGAACTCTGGACCTTACACTTGCCAGCCAGGCACCTATGCCACTGAGCTATGTCCCCGGCCTTCCTTATAATACTCTAGCCAGACTGCCCAAACTATTGGTTGACAGTAGAACAAATGAAAATTCTGACACATTATAAACCTTTCGTGAAAACTGTTACAGGTTCCAAATATTGCATGCACAATAGCATATACATACAGATAAGAAAATGCTAAGGGAGGCACTTGGGAGAATGACTCTAATTACAGCTTACGTGCTGAATAATTGGCTTTCCCGTTTCTCACAAACTCCACAGCTTTCGAATTCTACTTAGGAAAGCTGCAGGCAGTATCCACAACATCTAGGACAGCTGTTACAGCTCTTCTTTGGGGACCATCAACATGACATTGGGAACAACCCATTAAGTACATGCCAAATTTTTTGTCTTCTCCTATAGGTTATCTGAATATAGAAGCCCTTAACTGAGGAAAATATGTCATTAAGGACCAAAGCCTAAAGGAAATCTGCAGCCACAGATGCCTTCCTGTGGCTATTTGGGATGGCAGTAGTAACCCCCATTTGACCTTGGGTGACATCCAGGCATTCTCTGTAGGGCTTTGTTCTCCAGCGGGCTTTAGAAAAGAAGTGGGACAGAGGCCTTCAGTGTCTCTTAGATTTGCCTGAAGGGCTAGAATTTATGTAATTTTATGTCATGACATGTGAGGGCTATTTTAAAGTCTCCACTCTTTAGCCTGGAAGTTTGTTTACAGTATGTCTGACCGATGAGAAAATCTTCTGTTTAGAAAGTATTGTACCTTGGGCTACGTCCCTCTGTAATACCCACAGGTTAGTGAAAAGGTGCAGCAAAAGGCCGGTCATAATTACAGGCATATAGACAGTGTTTTTTTCAGCACAAGTATGAGTTACTATGACTACAAAGTTACAGCCAGCGTAGGCTGGCCAAACTAAGGCAAAGGAAAGGGGATGGGTGCATGCACTTTTCCTCTTGCGGGGAGAGGAGCTTGGCTTGTTTTATTTCGTTTTCTCCAGTTTTATTCAAGTCTGCTTCAGTTAAACTGGTAGAACCAACTTCTTTACAAAAGTTTTCCTGCAGCTTATTACAGCCTCTCAGAGGTATTAGGCAACTAAAAAACTTGTTCTGAAATCCAACTGCAATTTTCAGTCAGACAGTCTGAAACTTTCATCATCACAGGCATCAGAATCACTGCCCTCAGGGGGAGCAATCAGTCATGAGACTTACAGGCCGTGGTGTGGTAAATGCTGGGCCAGTACTGGCCACTGTCTCTCTTCAGCCATACTCGGAGGGTCCTGTGGAGAAATGAGGAAAAATGATGCTCAGTAATTTTAGCTTCTTTTGTGCTCCAGAAAAACCTAATGTGTCAAAAAATTCCAATACCATTTCCTAACTGATCTGATAATCAACTGGACAAACTCATCTACACACGTATATATATACAGATATAGAATAAAACATAGTTTATGTAGTGTACACACATACATTACACACAGTTACATACAGTGTGGCTACATACAAGTCTATATGGTATCCACGAGTCACTCAGATAACTTTAATGACACAGGAACGTTTTGTATACAAGGATATACAAAGAGAACCAGGCACTACTGACTGCTTTTCTTGCTAAGACAAATTGCATGAACGTGGCTGCCTCGTGAAGGCAGCAGATCTCAGTGGAAAGAAAATGCTTCTGGAGAGGTGCGGGGCAGAAAGGAAGAAGGTCTGCACAGCACAGCTCAATTCTCTAACAGCGCTCAGTTCTCAGCCTCATGCCCAGGAGGAAAGCACCCCTCGCCGTGTCTCTGAGCCCTTTCTCATCAGAACTCACGCAGGGCCATGTGGAAATCCTTGCAAGTGCAGGAAAAGGACCAACGACTGAGACAGCTGAAGTTGAACACTTGGGCTCCCTGCAAAAGCAGAGAACACAGGATACTGCAGGCCCCACGTGGGCTCACAGAACCGCAGCCCTGTCCAGGCCACTGGAGTCCCACTGGGCTCGGCCCTCTGCCTCTGCAGTGACCCCCTGCCCACGCACCTTCCCAGCATCCCCACAGTCAGCTCTGTCAAGCTCGTTTACACTTCAGGAGCAACACGGATTCTGACACGCGGTAGGAGCTGAGTAAATGTTTGGTCTTAGACTGATACATAGCTTTCCCTTTTTCTCTCTTTTCGGAGCTCAAGACAAGGAAAACTGGTCATGGAGGAAAATCTCAGAATAGTCGTGGCCTCTGGGGAGAGGATGACAGGAAGTCAGGAAGGGAACAGCAAGTCTCTAGCGGGCTTCAGCAAGAACTCGCCCAAGTGCGCTGAGGAGTCTTACAGACACAGTGACTGGAATATGGCCTTCATTCATGCAAATGAACATGATCAAGGACCACAGTGAGGCTAAAGCTCTTGTGTTTGGGAACTGGGTAAAACCATTACAGCTAATGCAACCTGATCAATCCTCCAATCCAACTACCAGTTCATAGAATAAACAGAGGGCACAGGAAGAGCAGTATGACAGACACAGAAGCAAGACTGTAGGAAAGTCTACAGATAAATTAAGCACTTTTTTCTACAGATGATTTGAAAGAGAGAAAACAATAGAGATGGAAGACAAGATTATGACTCGTGAGGTTTAAGATATGTACAAGCAATTAAAAGTGCACGTTTATTTGGATCCTGATTCAAACTTTAAAATAAGAGCAACATGGTGAGACAATGAGGAGTACAAATACTAACAACTACTCTAGTGTTGATATTAAAAATCATTGCTCATTTCTTTAGGTGTGATAATGATGTCACTGCTTTGTCTTTAAGAAGTAAATAATAAAACAGGTGTGGTGGTGCACACCTGTAATCCCAGCACTCAGGAGGCTGAGGCAGGAGAATCCCCGCAAGTTCAAGGCCAGGCTAGATGACACAATGAATTCAAGCCCAGCTTGAACTGCAAAGCAAGACTTCCTCTCAAAACAAAACCAAACAACAGAGTAACTCCTGAATTTCAAATGAGCCCTCACTTGTCATCCTCAGCATGGCCACCACAGCCTGGCCCTCTAGACTCTCGCTGGAGTCACCCGCTCTCCCGTTACCTACTGGACTCTTCCCACTCTGGCCCACCCCCAGTACACCGCACCACACCACTGCTGGGCTCAGCACACACCATGCTCATCTCAAACCCAGGGCTCAACTGGCAGACTTAGTTTCTGTGACTTCCCAACTGAAGCCCCATACCACTGAGGGGTGTTCTTAAGCTCCTCCAACTCACCCACTCAGGTCATGCCCTAAGTCCATCTACTTCACCAGCCTACTAAGAACTCTTCTCTCCAGGTAGGAGATTTTCTACGCAGATGGAAGGATAGGTGCCATTTCAGTACAAGTCCTTCATTGAAAACATCAGTGGAAGCTTCTAATAATGGTTCTTTGAACTGAGCTGCTAAGGTATTATCTTGACTATAGTGTGTTACTTGGATCAGAATGCTTATGGATACATTCAACACAACAGATGAAGCCAACAGAGGTGTAACAGCTGAAAGGCCAGCAACTGGGTGTCCAAAGATTTACTTCCAACACACAGTAACAAAGGTCATGGTCCTTGACGGCCAAGGCTGTATGCAGCACCACTTCAAGTTTATGGGCTTCACTTGTACAAAGAGCATGAAGGGCAGGCTGACAGCTACCCACCTGCCAGAGTTTTTAAGTAGAAGGCAGAACAGAATGACGACAGATTCTGAAACTCTTCAGTCCCAAAGGTCTTAGGTCATGACTGTGTAGGGAGCTCAAAGGATTTAGTGACACATGTTCTCCCTCTCCCCTGGGCAAGGACAATATTCAGGAATTGGAGCACTATGTTGTAAGGAGGAAATCTTTCAGGTCATCTCTTCTGATCAATCGCTGAACCTCTGAAAAGTCAAACTGCATCCACTTTCAGTGTGATATTTAAACTAGCTCAAGGTTAAACAAAACCTACCTAGATCCCTGCATTTTAAAACAGTATTATTTCCTCTGGAGAGCAAACATCAGCATATAATTTGGTCTGCACAATTTAGACCTAGGTTAGGACCAAAGTAGCAAACTAAGAAATCAGCAAGATTTATATGATCTCTCAAGAGTGCTTTGCCTGAAAGCTGATTATCACATTCAGGCTGAGAAAGCATCCTTGTTCGCAAATCAGGTTCCAAATTAGGCACCTGACTTTGATAGTCAGCTCTACCTCACATCCATACCTTCCACCTGGAATTCTCTTTCACCCATCTCAAACGATACCCTTCTCCTTCCAAAATTAAGTCAAACCAATGTTACGTTTAACTCCTGACACTTTAGCACACCCACAAACCTGTGTGTTAAACAGAGTTGCCTAATTTCCACAACTTACATGGGAATTTGTTTTATATTATGATCAGACCTTTCTCAACTGTTTTAACAAATGGTTGTAAAAATAGGCTTGTTAATAAGAAGTTGAACTAGTTACTAAAAAAATCAAGACATGCCAGGCTAAAAAGCATACTATTTAGTAAATTGGAAGCAAAATCCATTCAGTAATTTGAAAGCAACATAATAATACAACTTGGTAAGATTTTACTAAAGTCTGTACAATGATATAAAAACCATCTATCACTAAAGTGTCAAGATCAGATGGTTTAATTTTTATATAACTCACAATATTTTCTACCAAATGTCTAAGTTGCTTTCTCTACTAAGATAAAACAGCTGAATTTCTCCTTTAATATTTTGACAACTTTACTCCCACACACCTACTCGTTTTTATATTTTTCCTGGCACTAACTCTACCCATTTTTCTAGCAGCTGGATTTTCCTGGATATTCCAAGACCATGTCAGTCTAAAAAGAACTTTTTCCTTAAAACACAACTTTAAAAATGTGTTCATTCTTTTCCAAGTTCTGTTTTCAAGTTGTTTTAAAATAACAGTCTGCCGTTTTTCCAAAAGGTACTTGGAAAGGAAGTGTGATGTTGTCTTTCTTTCTGAGCCTACATAAATGGCTTCCAAGCAATCGCTGTGGAAGGCATGACCATCTGTCCCCCGGCCTTACGAGTAAGAGAAACCAGGGCCTCTGGGGCCACGATACCTTCTATTTCTGTGGACGATGACGATGTACGCACATATAACCACAAGGTGCTCACTACTACCACCGCACGTGTCTATCATTCTGCATCAGAGAGGCTTCACATATTTTCCAGATAAATGAAATGTTGAAGTTGAATTGGATTTCTTTATTTTAAATAATTCTGAAATGTTTACTTCTTTAATAGTCCTGGGGACTGACCCAGAGCCTTCACACTGAGACACATCCTTAGCCCTTTTTCATTTTCATTTTTATTTTTTTAATTTTGAGGCAGGGTCTTGCTGAGTGGTTAAGCTGCTCAGGTTGGGCTTGAACCTCAGCCTCCCGAGTGCTGGTATGATGGGCGTGCACCACCTCCCGTCGGAGGTAAGCAGCCGAACAATTTAAAACAATAATGAAAGGCTACATAGCCTTTCTAGGGCTCTCATAGTTTTCTTTTTTCTCTTTGTCAGAATATTCTAAATTAGAACTAACTCTTCAGAAAGACTTCTGCTCAATAGAGTAGGGAACATACATTTGCCTGATGATGATGACACAACAGTAGTGCCAAAGTCTGAGGAATTCTAACCTTGGCAATTTGTTCACCCCATAGGAAAAAGAACTATACATTTAAAAGTGAGTCATGTGCATATATCAAAGAGTAAACAAACACTGGGGGGAAAAGGTTAAATAATAAAAGGGACTAATGAGAGAATAATTAAACATTGTATAAAAATCATTAAAACTGTTATGAAGACTGAAAGATGTATGAAAATGGTTATGAAATGTTTGTTTTTATTTAAAAGAGCATAATATAAAATTACATAACTAAGTTGTGTAGCCACGCCAGATCTAGCTGCACACAGGGCCAGGCTGGCAAGCGGCAGGCGGTGTGGACAGAGACACGTAGCAAGGTACACAGCGACGCTGGCTCCATGTGGGTTTTTAATCATTTATTTAACTTGTGCTGGGTTTGGGCGGTAGGGCAGTGGTGGGAAGCAAACCCAGGGCTTTGCACACATTGGGCAAGCGCCCTACCATCAAGCCACTTTCAGCAACTCTGGCTCCTGCAAGGATGCTGAGGATGGGGCGGGGCAGGTTTCCCGAAACTCCCCAGGGACCAACCATATGGCTGTCTGTCTAAAATTCTGAAGGTAAAAATATTCTGTTCTCTAAGAATGAATGTCTGTCAGTGTCACCTCCGCAAAAAATGAGGGTGAGCAGTACAGGGCAGGCAGGTCTTCAGC